TATCATAGCAATTAGTAATGTATTGTTTTAACGGCGCATAGTGATATTTGAAACATTTTGATTTATTCCGCTTGCAAGAATCAAATATCGTGACTCTTTGGCTTTCTTTGTGTAAAAGTATTTGATGAGTCAGTGGACACAATGCGATATACCTAATTCAGATTTTCGGCGTTTTTTAAAAAAAATAGCGAGTATTGCTGGTTTTCAGTGTCACCCCATTCAAATAGATAAAAATCAAAATCAAAACTGTTCAACAGATTAAGTCCGGAATCTGGGAAATGAAAGGAGGTAAATGTACAAAGACCCTCGCCAAGATTCAAGTCGGCAGAGGAATATATCGTATACGAAATATCCAAAGAAATGTTTTACCCAAATATATAGAGATTTGTATGGAGACGCCATGCTGGTGTCCACCTGGATGAGCACTAGTAGACAATACAAGACAAGACGAAACAATGCTTTATTTGGAGTCTTATACAGTCCTATGTACATCGACATAGGCGTACGGGCCGGGAGGGCGAGGGGGGCTGCAGCCCCCCCCCCCTCCCCCTCCCCACCAAATTTTGGGCGACTCAGATTTTTTGGGCAGCAAGAGAAAATTTGGGCAAAGCCAGTTTTTAAAGACGTTTCCATGTTTTTTTTATTACTCTAAAGAGGCAAATATTTGCTATTTTAATCTGAAAAAATCCTGAAGTCAGCGTAATAATCCAGTTACATTCTCTCGAGACACTCACAGTGGTTGCCTAGCGCGTGATGAGTTTCTGGTTATAGGGAAGAGTATCATTTGTTGATTTACATATTTATAGTTTTTTATTGATGAGCACTGTACTGCACTGCACTGACTGGAATGGGCTCTTTCCAGTCGTGAATTGATTAGAACAAATTTCCGCATATCTTTCTAGAATCATCTCAGCAACAGTGGCTCTGAAAATGAAGAAGTGGCTGACTAGTAATCCGCTCGAATTACGAGAAGAATATTAATTTTTTTAAAAAATCTATCAATCAATAATTTATTAAAGTAGACCGAAATGTTTACAAAACCGCTAACAAGAGCCCCTCGATACATACTAATGAAATCCTAGCAATCGGCCGGAGTCATATCCATGATCATATCTTTTACACACGTTTTTAAAAAGATTGAAGCTACTATGAGGTGCAATTGCATGTCAAAAGAGCTTCGTTTTCTACAAATAACAGCCAAACATCAAGATTTTTTTCCCCATATTTATAATGATAAAACCTTCATCCCAAAATATCCCAATAACGCTCCTATAGATTCCGTTTTAACTTCACGAACATCGAGGCGACTATTGGAGAAAAAAGTTCCCGTGGACAATTTTGTAGGAATAGTTCCCAGTGCCGAGAAATATTGCTGCAAGTAAAATAGACAATGGCGTCATTTCGTTGCTATGACAATTCCGATGTCATTAAAACCCTGCTCATGATAAATTTTTTATCTTCATCTAACAAAACTATGGTAGCAGTTTTTCCAAATGTTTGTCTATGGCGACGTAGTTATTCTCAAAATTGGGAGGTATTGACCTTTATATGCCAGTACGGCCTACGTTATTGCATCGTATCGCCTTCGTTTCTTGTCTACTGTTTCGTAAAAATTTGGGCAACTTGGGAGAATTTTTTGGGCAAATGGCTTAACGCCCCCCCTGGCAAAAAATTGCCCGTACGCCTATGTACATCGACTTTATCCAAATGATTTAAAATCATAACACAAATTGCACACTAGTGGAACTATGATCAATGTTTACCTAAAGAACTAATGATCTTCTTTTCTCATAGCAGTCGAATACGTATTTTGCAATTAACTTCTGCACTGGTTTGTTCTGGCTAATATGGTGGACGAAAACCACGAGCCCGGGGGGGAGGGGGGTACTCCCTTATATAAAGGGCTTAATGGGGACGTGCGGCCAGCCAGGGTATGTTTTTCGGGATTTTTGTCTTAAACAGGGTATCGATTTTATCATTTTTTGTCTTAATCAAGGTATCGATTTTATCAATTTTTGTCTTAAACAGGGTATCTTTTCTTGGACGATAAACAGCCTGCGCGTATGTTCCTACGAGCTAAACTACAGCAAAATTTTCATTTATTATTGTCTTACACGTACACAGGGTATGGTTTCTGGTTAAATGTCTTAAACAGGGTATCAAAAATCGGAATTCTGTCTTAAACAGAGTAGGAAAATCAGCGATTTTTGTCTTAAACCGGGTCAGGGTATGAGGGGCCAGGCCGCACCTTCCCACCCAAGGATATATCGAGTACCCCCCCCCGCCCCGGGACCATGAGAAACATCTCTTGCCGAGTTTTGCTACGAGAGCGTAAATTTATCCCTCGAGGAACTCATAAACATTAAAGTAATACTTTCTCCAATACATTCACTGTTTAGATAGCAAAAGTCCCCGAAATAAGTCACTTTTTTAACCTACATTACAGTTCTCTCGGCCGTCATGTAAATGCCGCGTTACGTAAAAGTGTACTCTATCACAAAACCAAGAACCCTTTTAAAACGAAAATTTGGAGGAAATTTAGTTGTCTTCTGCTCTAAATACGTTATGAAAGTTAAATCTCAGTAGGATACGGAAGCCCTTAAGGGACATCGATGTTAATGCTTAATCGGTGTTTGTTTCAATTGAAAATCGAAGTTTGTTTTTTGAAAATCGGACTTTGTTTTTAAATAGAAAATCGAAGTGTGTTTTTTGAAAATCGGAGTATGTTTTTATCGAAAATCAGAGTTTATTTTTTGAAAAGCGGAGTATGTTTTTATCGAAAATAGGGGTTTGTTTTTTGAAAAGCGGAGTTCGTCTTTTGAAAATCAAAGTTTGTTTTTTGAAAGTCGGACTTTGTTTTTATCTAAAATCGGAATTGCTTTTTAACTTTTGCCCCAGTCTCTGCTCATCGTAAGTACCACGAAATTTCAACTAAGATGGCTGACAGCCAGGTCATAGAAGACTTGTGCAAAGCACAAGCAGGTGTACGAAGTTTTAAAGACTTAAATAAATCTTCCAGGTCGCTTAACTGGAATAAAGACCTTCAGATAAGGGGGAGGGGGCGGTCATCCAGACCCTGAGATATGAGGGGGACGGTCTCCAAAAAGTTTTTTGGGGCCTCAGTTTGGTCTAAAAATAAAGGGGGGGCGGACCCCCCGGCCCTTTCCCTGGATCCGCCACTGATTTTCAGTTTGAACTCAAGAGCAGAATGGCAGCGCAGAATCTGGGGCCAATACTCGGATTTTCAAAAAACAAACTCCGAGTTTGAATAGAACAAACTCCGATTTTCAAAAAACAAATATGATTTTTTACAGAACAAAGTCCGATTTTCAAACAAGACAAACTCCGATTTCCAAAAATCAAACCCCGATTTTCAAAAAAACAAACTCCGATTTCCAAAAAATAAAACAAACTCCGATTTTCAAAAAACAAACTCCGATTTTCGAAAAAAACAAACTCTGATTAAGCGTTAACACCGATGTCCCTTCAGGGCTTCCGTACGACACCGACTCTCTTGTGAGAAAGTTAATTTACATATTTTACAACACACTAGTAACGTGAGCTTTGGGACGCCTGTGTTGTATTATTTATTAGGTTTATTACTATTAGTACTAAGAAAGTTCAGATTCTTGTTTGCTTTGGTGGTAATTTCATTTACATGATCATTCCAGCGTAAATCATTCGAGAGGTTGATCCCTAAATATTTACTGAGAAGTATCATTTAGCTTGTGTCTGACAAACGTGCGCGTGACAGGGTTATTAATCGCGTGTTTTGTCGTGAGGCTTCACTTAATGCACCTGTCAAGTAAAGGCGGCGGGGGGGGAGGCAGGGAATGGGGTGGGGATTTGACATTTTTCAAAAATTTCCAGTCAAATTCCCTGCCAATTGATGATTTCCATGTGTTTTCTGGTCTTTTACAAAAAGATCTGTTTAAAGGAGGCTGAAGTTTGGCGCAAAGTTTTCTCAAACAATACTATTGTCACGCTTGTCACACAAGGTTTACCGTCTTCTTTCCTGTCGAGTCATGTACCCTAAGTTCATGAACTACAGTCCCCCACCCACCGCTCCCTTCCTGCCTGGTTCCGTCTGGAGCGGGAGGACCTGTAGTTGGGACCTGTTTATGGAAGCACGAGCCAGAGATTTTGGTCGCGGGCTCAAGAACTAAATTCCCGCGAGATTCGCACGCGACTCAAGTGAAAGCGATCGGAAGGTCGGTTTTACAAATTCAATTTATTTGCTTTTTAGTGCTTCCTTCAGAGCTTAATTATCCTGTGCATGTCTTAAACTCATTAGGATCCCTATGAGCTGTAAATAATGCGCTGGTGTTTTATTATTCATTCAATTATCATAGCAGTACACATGGGAAAAGACAAGCGCGCCGCATCATTCATTGAAAGGATTCGCAAAGAATGAAATTTATGAGAACAAAAATTAACCGGTAAGTCACTAAAACACAAGATATATTGTTCCTAAATCCATTTCATACTTCATTTGCTCATGTCTAAAGAAGAAAAAGTTGAATTTTAACGATACTGAGTAGTAAACGGCTTGATTTGAGTGGTAAAGATTTATTCTACCGAATGCTGATCCATCTACAAACGTTTACGAATTTTTGAGGGTGACAAAGATCTCATTACTGTTCAGGCCAAGCCACAGACCTGAACTTTGACGCTGTTTTCGTTTGAATATTACTCTTTTGTTGGCTCGGGTTATGAAATCAAAGTGGTTTTAGCTTATCATGGAGTTACATCAAAACTACGTGCAGTGCGAACGCTCGTGTGAAGGAATTTCTGGTGCCATTCCTGGGCAAAAAAAAATTATCCGCAGCAATCTACCAGTCGAAGTAGAAGGGCCTCATTTAAATGCTTTCTACTCTTCTTGCAGTAACCTTAAGAAGCCGTTCGACGTTTCGTACAATCCGCCGTCTTCCGATCACTTAAATCACCCTCTTGCAGACAGCCACAGTACAACAAAGCTGTCACCAGCAATCCAGAAGCAGATGTCGGGATTTGAACGTGCGTGTTATGAGGACTTTCAGATGTATATTCCAGAAATCACTGCAGAAACGAAATTTGCATCTCCGAGAAAACTCTGTGAAGAGAGTGCAGATTTTGGTATTGTTCATCCAACCATTAATCAAGACTTTGCCTTAAACCATCATGCAAATCCAAGCTATCGAAAAATTCTACCAAGTGAGACACATTGCCACTACAATAAAACAGTGATGCCTTTTACTTTTAAAAGTTTAACTAACAAGATTCCCAGATCACTTGGAAACTGCGGCCACAATGTGACAGTACCCAGTGCGTGTAGAGAAAGTACATCACCATGGCCTATAGAAAACAATAAAGATTTGCAATTTTCCCATAGTTCAAGGCTACTAAAGGGTACGTCACAAGTTTTACCACTGAACAATGCTGTTAGTCATTTTACACCACAGCAGCTGTGCCCAACTGTGAGCATCCGTGTTGACATTTCTTGTCCTCTGTTGCCTTGTGGTCACAGCAGGATGTCATGCTGTGGCCAAGATGCTTACGTTACATCTCCTGAGCAATCCAGTTATAGTTTCATATCAGGAAACTTAGGGCCGGGAAGTAATGGAGTTATAATGTCAGACAACTGTCAGAGTTGTCCTGGATCTTCTGATACCAGGGTAAACTCTTTTGCTGGCACTCGCAAACTTAGTCATGCAACAGATCATTCAAGAGGTCACAACACAGGCTTTACCAAAAGCCAGTGTAAATCAAATGATCTTGTTAATACTGATAAGAAGTCGTACCCTCAAAGATTTGAGACTGTGACCAAAAGTGTGATTGGATATCCACTATCATCAAGAGCAAACGATCATGCAATTAACATGTACAGCACCTCCATGCATAATGGTATCTCCATGACTCATTATCAGCCACCCAGTCAAAAAATGGAAAGTCAAATCTACGATTCTTTTAACTCCAGGGGAGTGAAACATGAAAATAATATAATGCCAGCCAGGAGTATGGGTTACTCTGCTGAGGAAAATTCTTGTATTTCATCTGATGAGCACAGTGTGAAAGTTACAAGTTTTCAGAATGAAGGAACTCAAGGAAATGAAAGGACCATGTACTTTCCAAAAACTTCACTAACTTCTTGCCATGACATTGTAGAATTGAGACCCATTGATCCAGGAAAGGTTTTTGGACAGTGTAAGTTTCAAGACAGTGGTAACATGGCCTCAGATGAGCAATGTACTTTTGCTGAATCAGCATGTCACAGCAAAAAATGGCGAGTAGATACATGGATGGCACTACAAGCTGACAATCACAGAGAAATCAAGAGAGAGACAGAATTAAATGAATTATTGTTAGATGCGCCATTGAACCAGCCATTATCTCCTTTTGCAAATCTTTCCAGTTTGGTAGCAAAAATTGACCCTGAGCATGGAAACATTATGACAGGACAAAAGAACATAAAAGTGGAAGGTTAGGTTCTGTTTTTCATAATTTTCAACCCTTTAAGCATAAAGAGTGATCAACATCAATTCTCTTCTAACAAAATCATATATATACTCAAGAGACTACTACCACTACTTCTACTACTACTACTAAAATGCAAAAGGTTCAAGTGTTTTTCACAGGATTTCGCGACACTTCAAGGTCAGAACAGTATCATTGTCATCATCAACAAAAGTTCTTGATTCAGCTTCTTGATTCTAACACAACTTCAAATAGCTTTCCTCTACTGCTGTAGAAATAAAAATAATGAAAAGAAAGAAAAAAATTCAATAAACTTTTAATAGTCCATAACTGAACTATGTTTGATATCACATTCATAATTTAGTGCTTTTAAAATCTATCGTAGTATCGTTCACTTTTTATAAAGACGGAAAACGTCACGCACTTCTATCAAAGTTGCTCGCAATGTATCCTGGGACCGGGGATTCCCCTTGTCGCAGGCCCGTCTTATCAACTGCAAGTAGCCTACGAGATTGGCTCCCCACATACTCTATATAATTTCACACACCCACGCCACCCAAACAAAGACACACGTTTCCCTCAAATCTTTCTCAGAATATGAGTTTTGTCCTTACACTGTTAGATTTAAGGTAAAAAAAAAATTGTAAAAAGGACTTACATTAGCTGAAGTAATTCTAGACAGGTCTTACTTAACTACAGATCCCTAAGACGTAACCAAGCTGCATTCTAGTCATAAACAACGTTCGCTTAATGAAGAGGTTTCTTAAAAATTAAAAAAGGCATTGCAGAGAATCCTCTGCTGAATCACGGTATTAGCGATTTAGAAAATGCGAAAAGAAAAAACGGAAAAAAACTCACCACTCATTCGTTTTCATGAAGACCTTTCAAGTCTCTCATCGTGTTCTACAGGCTCTCTAACCGAGATCATCTGCTCCTGTATCGCTGGCTGAAGTTCTTCTTCGTCGGGGTACTCCTCCTGTTCTTCAGGTTCTTCATTCCCGTAAATCTTGAAAGACAACATAACGCCAAAAATCCCGCCGATAATTCCTCCAAACATTGCACTCCAGAAAAAATATATGAAGGAAACCATATTAGTTACCCTCCCTTTTTAACGTGCATCTGAGTACGTCGCAGTCAAGTAGTGCATCGCGTCAAATAACTTTCCATGGATTAAATTTACAAATTTATAAAATTGAATGCTACTGAAGTCAGAGTCACGTGACATTAGAATCTTGCTCAGCTGGCGTGGGCTGAGAGTGCTAACAAGTTCTGTATTGTTTTGGCGGCGGAGCCGCAAGAGAATTCATTTTGCTTTATTCCGCTTTGCAAGAATCAAATGGCCGTGAGGCTTTGACAGCGTAAAAGTATTTGATGATTCAGTGGACAAATTTTCCGCATTTTTGAAAAATAGCGAGTATGGCTTGTGATCTGCGGGCTCTTCATGTGGCCCCAGATTAAAAATATAGGTTCCTGAAAAGAATTACTTAAGCTATATGTTAGTGTATTTTGCGCTCTTTAAAATAGCACAAAGTTGTCTTGTGATTTACAAAAAACATTTTCGAAGAAATTTACTATTTAAAAATCACAGATACCAGATCTTGCATATACCTAACTTTATGATTTTTAAATCGCAAACGTTTAAGCTTTCCGGCTACTTTGCGATTTATGGGGACGAAGCCAGGATTTTTCCAGAGGTATGTATGTAATTCTTCTAAATCTTCTTGTTCCATCCCCCCCGGTTAAAGTTCCAAATAATCTTCAATTTCAGGTGGCTTGATTAAAGGTGAGGAATGAGGTTACGTTGTTACGTTGTATGATTTTAAGCATTTTTATTTTTGGATTCATTAATCGCTTACCAATAATTAAGCGAGTAGTATTAAGCCAGTAGTGCAGTTTTTTTGAGTGTATGTAATTCCTTTCTTGACAAATATTAATAAACTAGTACCTCAGGCTATTATATATATTAGCCTGTGGAACACGGCATTACGCCGCAGTTAGGTACTTGAGAACCTATGCACTCACTGTCTCGAGTTCAGTCATGCATCAGCGATATTACCAACTGGATGACATCAAGCAAGTTGATCATGCTGAACAGAAACAAGCCTGAACTCCTTGTGATCAATGTCATCGTCCTCGTCCTCCAACAGTTGGCCGTGACGTGTAAGTCAGCTTCACATGCCGCAAAGAACGTGGGGGTCTGGTTCGACGAATTTCTATCAATGGGCAAACAAATCTGGCAAGCGGAGGCAGTCTGCAAGTTGGCCTTCTTCCATCTGTGCAATATCTCTTAAATTAGGAAGTACTATATCGTCGGCCTACTCACTGCAAGATTTTAATACATGCATTTATTATGTCAAAACTCGACTACTGTAACTCTCTCTTATCTGGGCTTCGAGCGGATCACATTACCAAATTTCAGCTTGTGCAAATTCTGCCGCACGTCTTTTTACTTCTTACGTTTAAATCACTTAATGATGTACAGACCAACAAGAACTATGCGCTCTGCAGATAAAGGACTCCTAGTTCAGCCCAATAATAACCTTAAAACCTATGGTTACAAGAGCTTTTTCACACGCAGCTCCTAAGATATCGAATTCCATGCCAGTCAGGTTACGCACATGTTGTGAGCTGAGCGCTTTCAAATCAAAAATCAAAACATTTCTTTTTAGCGTGTTTTTCAGTTGTAATTTCATGTTTATTATTATTATTATTCATTCATTCATTCATTCGTTCGTTCGTTCGTTCGTTCGTTCGTTCGTTCGTTCGTTCGTTCGTTCGTTCGTTCGTTCGTTCGTTCGTTCGTTCGTTCGTTCGTTCGTTCGTTCGTTCGTTCGTTCGTTCGTTCGTTCGTTCATTCATTCATTCATTCTTTTTTGTTTATTTATTTTATTTTTTATTTTTTAACAATAATTTTTAAGTCATTACCGAGAAAGTTCAGAGTCTTGTTTGCTTTGGTAGTAATTTCATTTATATGATCATTCCAGCGTAAAAATCATACGAGAAGTTGATCCCTAAATATTTAGAGGCATCATTTAGCTTGTGTCTTACCATCGTCACAGGGCTAGGGACGACGGCGACGGCAACGGAAACGCCACAAAAACAATAGGTTTAATTAGCAAAGCAACAATTTAGCACGTGCGTCACGCTTTTTTGTACATTTCTTTTCCGTCACTGCACGACTACGACGTAAAAATGCCTAATGTCACGATGTACAGAGGAAGTACACAAGCGAAGACGAAATTTCCTCTCTCCTTCTGAACTTGGATATAGTTCTTAGGAATTCGACTTTAGGAGGGTTCGCCTACATTTGACAAAGTTAGTAACTTGGAGTAATCGCGATAAAGATTGAAAGAACGCGAATTCACTTTTCCAGCGACGCTTTCTCTGCCGTCGCCGTCCTCGGATCTTAAGGTCCCTAATAGCGTGTTTTGTCGTGACGTCCGTGGGGGTACCCAATACCGCACATTGGCAAATACCGAAATACCGTGTTGAAAATCGACGAAATACCGATACCGCAATTATGATCGTTCACGCTTACTTAATAGTCTGTTAAAGTTGTAACAATCTCGCGTGTCTGTTTATCGCAAGCATGTATGCACCAGCAACCAACCTCAGCCATTGCGAAAAACCGTGAGAAGACCTCAAATTGATCGGTACAACCATCTAAGAAGCTTCGTCATTAGATGATCTTGGATTCTCTACCAATTTTTTTTTTTTAGATATTGACCTGCTTTAGACAGGAGAGCGAAAATGAACAGTCCGCAATACCGTGAAGTCTGTTATTTTCCGAATACCGTTAGCCAAAAGGATGAATAATCGCATACATCAATAATAATAATAATAATAATAATAATAATAATCCATTTATATAGCGCCTTTTCTACAAGTTCAAAGGCGCTGTTTACAAAAATTAGACAAAACTAAAAAAGAAAAAAAAATCACAAGAAATTGACATTGAAAACTAGACGCTAACTACAAAATAGATAAATGTACATAATAGATGAAAAAAATAAATTTAATTTAATTTAAAAATAAAATAAAATAAAATAAAATAAAATAAAAACATCACGATTCATAAGCTCGCATAAAAAGAAATGTTTTAAGTTTGCTTTTAAAATCATCAATTGAGTTTGCAGATTTAATATCCTCAGGTAAGTTGTTCTAAAGTTCCGGAGCAGCATTAGAAAAAGCTCGTTTCACCATATACGAATTGAGATTAAAATAGGATTTAACTAATAAATTTCTGTTAGAGGATCTAAGATTGCGGCTGGGTGTATACAATTGAAGGAGTTCCTGTATATAGATTGGAGCTCGATCATGTAGTACTTTGTAAGTAATTAACATAATTTTAAATTCAACACGAGAGGAGACAGGGAGCCAGTGAAGATCCCTCAGGACTGGAGTAATATGGCAAAAACCTGGACACTGGTTGACGAGGCGAGCGGCAGAATTTTGAACATGTTGAAGCTTTCGCATAAGATAGGATGGTAGGCCGTACAATAAAGAATTACAATAATCAAGTTTAGAAACTACGAAGGCATGAATAATGATCTTTGCAGCATCGTAAGTAAGATATTTGCGTATGAAACCAATGTTACGAAGATGGAAAAAGGACGATTGACAGACTGCATTGACATGAGGTACCATACAAAGGGACTAATCAAAGATAACTCCAATATTGCGTGCACTGGGGGAGCAGGATACAGTCTCATTACATATATATCAACAGAAGATAGTGGTGGCCGAGGTCGATAAGAAGAGGATATTACGAGAACTTCAGACTTGTCTTTATTTAATTTCAGCTTGTTGGGAAGCATCCTTACGTCCATGTCCGGAACACAGTTTACCAATTTGGCGTTACTCAGATTCATATCAGAAACAGACGACGTCCTGAACGTAATATATAGCTGAGTGCTATCAGCATAAAAGTGATAGAACATTTGATGGCGTCGAGCAATCTCGCCAAGAGGGGATGTGTACATTGAATATAACGACGGGCCAAGAACGGATCCCTGCGGTACACCAAACTCAAGAACATGAGAAGCAGAGCACGCACCATTAACCTGCACAAACTGTGTACGATCAGAAAGATATGATCGAAACCAGTCCAATACAGTTCCAGTAATTCCAAAGCGATTGGACAGTCGCGAGAGGAGGACATCATGATCGACAGTATCAAATGCAGCCGAAAGATCGAGAAGTACTAGGATAACTGAATTATGTTGATCTATTGCCATGGCTATGTCATTGTGGACTCTAATAGGAGCTGTCTCCAGGGGCACCCAATGGATCTGTTCCTCAAAATATCTGTTCTTCAGGCACATTTTTGCTGGCTGGGAGATGTGAAAGAAATAATAGTCCTTGGAAGGAAAGTGTTGCTGGGAAAAAGATAATTCAGGGTGTCAGAGGGGATTTGAAGTCTAGAATAGCTGCTACTGGTTACTTGTATGGGTTACTTACCACTCAAGATCTGAATTGTGCCCTATGAAACTTCCCAGCAAGTCAGCTTGCAGGTTATAAGGTTGCTGGCTGGGAACTCTTCCATCAGTCTTGCTGGGAGTGAGGAACAGATAACTTTTTTCCAGCAATTCCCAAAATGCTTAAAATAGTCTCAGAAAACTTTATTCACGCTTTGTTGTTTTTCTTAGGTCTTTTTCTCAAAATTTCCCGTTGGGTGCCCCTGTGTCTCTGTACTATGGTTTCTCTTATAGGCTGATTGATATGTTTCACCAAGGTCATTAATATCTAAGTATTGAATCAGCTGTTTAGCAACACATTTTTCAATAGTTTTGGATATGAAACGAAAATTAGAAAGAGGCCTATAGTTCTTGAAGTCGTTCGAATCCAGAGAGGGCTTTTTTAGCAGTGGCTTAGGTATAGCTTTTTAAAGTATTTTAGGCATCCGACCAGTTTCCAAGGAAAGGTTGACAATCTTATGCATTACTGGGAGAATAAAAGGAAACAGACATTTAAGTACATGACCAGGAACAGGATCTAAATCACCGGACTTAGGGGTAGTTGAGCCGATCACACGCAAGAGTTCATCCGGTGGAACAGTCGAAAACATGTTCAGTTGACAGCCTGTACTACCGTTATCTACAACAGTATCCAAAGGAGGGACTTGATCAAGGTCACGACGGATTCTTCTGATCTTGTCACCAAAGAATAGAACAAAATCATTAGCCAAAGAAGACGAGGGATCACGCTTTGGATACTTCGCCTCATGACGTCGATGAAGTAGTTTACTAAAAACTGCGAAAAGCGATCTCATGTTGGACTGATTCTCAGCAACTAGATTTGAATAATAGTTACTTCTTGATGAAGATAGCAAATCCTTAAGAATTTTACATTGACGCGTGTAAGCTTCAAGATCACGCATAGAACGGGAAGCACGCCACCGTCGCTCAAGCCGTCTTTTTCCCCTCTTTTCAGACTTTTATTCTTCTGGTACCAAGGTGCCGCTGGGCGAATGGTAACGGTACGCTTCTTAATGGGAACATGTCTGTTAAAAATTCCAGATAGCTCAGAATCATAAAGTGCAACTAGATCATCAAGTTCATTTGGCGGATCACTGATGAGGGAAGAACCTCGAGTGTCACTGATGAAAAGATCAGTATCAAAATTCTTAAAACTACGATAAATAATTTGTTTCTTTGTAAACAAAGGTTTCTCCATGGACAAAGCACAATTAACAACAAAATGGTCAGAGAAAGCGGCGTCATGAATAGAAACAGATGTAACTAATTGATCATCATCTCTTGTTATGAGGAGATTCAGTATGTGACCAGCACGGTGAGTAGGAGAACATACATGTTGCTTCAAATTAAACGGGCTAGATGATACCGCAATACCGCACATTTAAATCAAAATTACCGAGATACCGCTTGAAAAAAAGCTCGATACCGCAATCATCGTAAACCCCCATGTCCCCCTCCGTTAACATTGATGTTTTCTGGTCTTTTACAAAAAGATCTGTTTAAATGAAGCTGAAAGTTTGGCGGAAAGTTTTCTCAAACAATATTATTGTCACGCTTGTAACACAAGGTTTACCGTCTTCTTTCCTCTCCTGTCATGTTGCCTAAGTTCATGAATTACACTCCCCCACCTACCGCTCCCTTCCCGCCTGGTTCCATCTGTTGAGGGAGGGGATAGTAGGGACCCGTAAAGTTGTAGAGGCTCAAGCCAGAGATTTTGGTCGCGGGCTCAAGAACTAAATTCCCGCGAGATTCGCACGCGACTCAAGTGAAAGCGATCGGAAGGTCGGTTTTGCAAATTCAATTTATTTGCTTTTTAGTGCTTCCTTCAGAGCTTAATTATCCTATGCATGTCTTAAACTCATTAGGATCCCTATAAGCTGTAAATAATGCGCCGGTGTTTTATTATTCATTCAATTATCATAGCAGTACACTGGGGAAAAGACAAGCTCGCTGCATCATTCTTTGAAAGGATTCGCAAAGAATGAAATTTATCAGAACAAAAATTAACCGGTAAGTCACTAAAACAAAAGATATATTGTTCGTAAATCCATTTCATACTTCATTTGCTCATGTCTAAAGAAGAAAAAGCTGCATTTTAACGATACTGAGTAGTAAACGGCTTGATTTGAGTGGTAAGGATTTATTCTACCGAATCATTGCTGATCCATCTACAAACGTTTACGAATTTTTGACCGAAGGGTGACAAAGATCTAACTACTGTTCAGGCCAAGCCACAGACCTGAACTTTGACTCTGTTTTCGTTTGAATATTACTCTCTTGTTGGCTCGAGTTTCTGAAATCAAAGTAGTTTTAGCTTATCATGGAGTTACATCAAAAATACATGCAGTGTGAACGCTCGTGTGAAGGAATTTCTGGTGCCATTCCTGGGCAAAAAAAAATTCTCCGCAGCAATCCGCTGTCAGTCGAAGTAGAAGGGTCTAATTTAAATGCTTTCCACTCTTCTTGCAGTAACCTTAAGAAGCCGTTCGACGTTTCGTACAATCCGCCGTCTTCCGATCACTTAAATCACCCTCTAGCAGACAGCCACAGTACAACAAAGCTGTCACCAGCAATTCAGAAGCAGATGTCGGGATTTGAACGTGCGTGTTATGAGGACTTTCAGATGTATATTCCAGAAATCACCACAGAAACGAAATTTGCATCTCCAAGAAAATTCTGTGAAGAGAGTGCAGACTTTGGTATAGTTCATCCAACCATTAATCAAGACTTTGCCTTAAACCATCATGCAAATCCAAGCCATCGAAAAATTCTACCAAGTGAGACGCATTGCCACTACAATAAAACAGTGATGCCTTTTACTTTTAAAAGTTCAACTAACAAGATTCCCAGATCACTTGGAAACTGCAGCTACAATGTGACAGTACCCAGTGCGTATAGAGAAAGTACATCATCATGGCCTATAGAAAACAATAAAGATTTGCAATTTTCCCATAGCTCAAGGCTACTCAAGGGTACGTCACAAGTTTTACCACTGAACAATGCTGTCAGTCATTTTGCACCACAGAAGCTGTGCCCAACTGTGAGCATCCGTGTCGATATTTCTTGTCCTCTGTTGCCTTGCGGTCACAGCAGGATGTCATGCTGTTGCCAAGATGCTTACGTTACATCTCCTGAGCAATCCAGTTATAGTTACATATCAGGAAACTTAGGGCCGGGAAGTAATGGAGTTATAATGTCAGACAACTGTCAGAGTTGTCCTGGATCTTCTGATACCAGGGTAAACTCTTTTGCTGGCACTCGCAAACTTAGTCATGCAACGGATCATTCAAGAGGTCACAACACAGGCTTTACCAAAAGCCAGTGTAAATCAAATGACCTTGTTAATACTAATAAGAAGTCGTACCCTCAAAGATTTGAGACTGTGACCAAAAGTGTGATTGGATATCCACTATCATCAAGAGCAAACGATCATGCAATTAACATGTACAGCACCTCCATGCATAATGGTATCTCCATGACTCATTATCAGCCACCCAGTCAAAAAATGGAAAGTCAAATCTACGATTCTGTTAACTCCAGGGGAGAGAAACATGAAAATAATATAATGCCAGCCAGGAGTATGGGTTACTCTGCTGAGGAAAATTCTTGTATTTCATCTGATGAGCACAGTGTGAAAGTTACAAGTTTTCAGAATGAAGGAACTCAAGGAAATGAAAGGACCATGTACTTTCCAAAAACTTCACTAACTTCTTGCCATGACATTGTAGAATTGAGACCCATTGATCCAGGAAAGGTTTTTGGTCAGTGTAAGTTTCAAGACAGTGGTAACATGGCCTCAGATGAGCAATGTACTTTTGCTGAATCAGCATGTCACAGCAAAAAATGGCGAGTAGATACATGGATGGCACTACAAGCTGACAATCACAGAGAAATCAAGAGAGAGACAGAATTAAATGAATTATTGTTGGATGCGCCATTGAACCAGCCATTATCTCCTATTGCAAATCTTTCCAGTTTGGTAGCAAAAATTGACCCTGAGCATGGAAACATTATGACAGGACAAAAGAACATAAAAGTGGAAGGTTAGGTTCTGTTTTTCATAATTTTCAACCCTTTAAGCATAAAGAGTGATCAACATCAATTCTCTTCTAACAAAATCATATAGATACTCAAGAGATTAGGTTATGAGAATTTATAAAATAATCACCCAAGGGGGAAAGTACTTTGATCTTTTACCAAATTTTTGAAAGTAATTTTTGAGGGAAATGAAAATTTAAACATAGAAAGACTTGAGAGATTTTGGGAGTAAGAATATTACAGTCTTGTTTTTTCCTGATACCTTGCGGACATTTTTTAGTGTTTACATGTTGATATGAACCTAACAATGCATGAGGAATAATCCTTATCATGCTATAAACAACCCACATATTCATTCTTGTTTTCTGCGTATAGGTCAGAGAGGTGATATGATAACCAAGAGGCGTTCTCACTGTGTTTGCCCCAATTGTATCAGTGGTCTGAACAGTGCAACACGAAACTTACATCAGAGGTCACACAGCTGCCACTATCCTGGCTGCGGCAAGGTACACTTCATAATAATATAATATAGCTTTGAAAGGTAGAAATTAACGCATCTGTTGAAAGACCTTTCTCAATCCTGGGGGTTGGAGAGGGGGTGGGGTGCTCTATATATTTTTGAGTGAGAGTGTGCCTCTGGAAGTATGAAACCTAGTCAGCTTTCAATCATGTTGCAGTCTGCCACAAACTGTTACAGATTATAACATCGCTAGAAAATTTGCCTAATCAAATTCGATAGCGTGAGCATGCTACTCTGATGATGTCAATAAACTTTTCCTCAAGTTGTTGTGAGCATAGCAATCCTCTCAAGATGTCTCCCAAATGCATCCATAACTCAGCGGTAAAATTATGAAGCATTTACCATGTGTTTTATAAGGTAATTAAAGAGAAAACTTTTGAATTTGTTAACCGATAGTAGGGAAAAGAGGTTAGTGTTGTTGTTGTCATATCCGCGAGCTGTGCATGTGCAGATCATTCTTTGCAAAAATGTTTCTCTCAAAAATAATTTTTATGTGAATTTTCCAGCACCTCAATATGGATTTTACAATCTTTTTCGAATACACTTAGTAGTGACCCACACCGGTAATCATTTATGACTATTAATGCAAAGGATCAACCTTGGCGTTAAGGGAAAACTATTTGCATCATCTGTAATCATTTTTTTGTTCACAGGTTTATGGAAAAACCTCTCATTTGAAGGCTCATTTGCGTTGGCATAAGGGAGAAAGGCCATTTATTTGTAGCTGGGTAAGTTGCAGTTGGATAGAAATGATAGTGGGTGCTCTGTTGCTGTTTAGAAGCATAAAAAATACTTCTGTTTATTAGTTTACAGACAACCCTGGGAAATTTGAAAACCCTCCTTAGCTTAGTATCATATTATTTCTCATGTGGTGCCTTTTTTAGGAGGAAAGATTTTGTTAAGGATTTTTTGGGAGTCAGTGGAAGGCATAACCATGGTAGCCTTCTAGTCTCTTATGAATGCATCCACCCCAGGCGGGGGAAAAGAATTTTGGGGGTTTGAAATTTTGATTCCAGGATTATTTTGGGTAGGAAAATTTAGCAAGTACTTTTGGTTGGCTTTATTTAAGTAGGGGTCTTTTGGGTATTCAAAACAATCTGATTTGATTTTTGGTATGTGTACATTGTAGTGCCATGGTATGATGAATAAACAAACTCAAACATTCTATTTGTAATGTTTTTGTTTTGTGTTGTATCATTGAATACTTTCTGGAAATTTTTAACGCTTGGAAATTTGGTGTGGGATTTTTTGGGAGTTATTTTTGGTCCGGGATTTTTGGGGTTTTCTTGGAAACCGTAGGGGATTTTTTTGGGTTTTGATATTTACCCCCATTCAATGATCCCCGTCACTTGAAATTCGAAGTACCCTCCCTCTGGGGCATCCACCCTCTTTGGGAATGAATGTATGAAATGCCAAAGGAAAATCTGTGCAGGTATGTTATCCAGAATAAAGCAACGTTTTCAAACAATTCTTTTATTTTTGCTTATGTTTAACTGTTTTGCCTTTTTTAGAATAACGGCACACATCAATGTGGTAAGAGCTTTACTCGGTCAGATGAGTTGCAGCGTCACCTGAGAATCCACACAAAAGAAAAGGCATACATGTGCAATGTATGCCAAAAGGCTTTTGGCCGCAGTGATCATCTGAGCAAGCACCTTAGAACTCATGACACCAGTAGGAAAAAGAATGTTCAGGATAAGGACAGTGATGGTCAAGAACCTTGCCACGCGGATGGTACAAAACTCCATTGTGATGTTGATGATAACGATGATGTGTTTGATGATGATAACAAAAAAAATAATAGAGCTCATGGACAGATTGACACTTGATTGAAAGGATGGAAAACCTTTGGTTATAAAAATATTCAAAACAAGTTTCAAAGAGGCCAGAAGTTGAATGGCAATCAGACAATCACTTCAACTTCACAATGCACACGGTTCTTTGAGGAGGAGTGGATTCTATAAATAATATTTGAAATATTATTTAGAATAATTTTTGTTATATATAGCTTGATTGAAGCACAGTTAGGGTCAATTTTAGAATACTTGTTCAATTTCATGGTTAATATTCTTAAACCGTGGGTAAAGTTTTGTTGCTCAGCAAAAGTTAACCTTAGGGTACATGCTTTCTAGACTGCATGACAAGCATTTCTGTGTGGTTTTGGAGACAAGAAAGGCTGACGAACATTGAGGAACAGGACTTGCACCCCCTCCCCTCTCTCTTACTCACCCCATTTTTTGTGCAGTCTTTCATTCTTGTTCCCAGTCCTTTGCTCCGAAACCACACAGAAACACTTGCTACATAGGCTGCATGCTTACCTTTACTCAAAACGGGCTGACCAGACCTGTCTAGTCACAACTGAGGAAATTTCACTTTTAATTATGAGGACTATCCAACCAGATAAGTAACCATGGAAGTGATGAATTTTTCGCATAAACTCCCAAGTTAAGCTATAGATTTCACTTTTGAAATGAACCGTCTGACAGCCAGTCCTGACTATTGTAAGGTTGCACCCCTAGTCATCTGGCTAATGTTAGTTCAAGGGTGATGCATATGGGGTATTTTTGAATTACAAATTACCAAAGAAAAGTCTCATTTTAGAAGTAACCACGATACAAAAACTCCGTAAGAGTGTGAGTGACTCCTTTTGTTCATAATACAGTCTGAGTTGAGGCTCTTAGTTTTTTGTGGGGGGAGCAGCTGGGGTCACGTGTCTAGTGTTAATCTCAAACACCTTTAATTTGTCTTGCGTATTGAGGAGTAGAGGAGGAAACTGTACCTCTGTCGGTGTTTTATTATTTTTTGCTAATCTTTGTTGCTGTTGCAGTTTTATTGTTTGTTAGTGTCACTTGTTGCTATTTGTCATATGTTGCTGTTATAAGACCATGTTGCTTGTTGGAGTGTTGCCTCTGTGCAAGTGCATTTTGCAGGCAAGTGTTTTCAATTTCTAAAGCAGAGAAAGACTTGGGAGAGTAAAACGTGGATCAATAGTCCACAGGGTGCACGGCAAGTCAAAGTGATTTCTCGTGCTTGTGCATGCACCCCATTCAAATTCTTAATGCTACAGGCTGTAGAGAGAAGTATTATCAAACTGTCAATATGCTATGTTTTATTCTAATCTGTCTTTTTGGCTGTCAAGACTCTAGCCAGTGTTGCAGTATTTCAAATTAGTTCATGTACATTGTTATGTGATATAATCATTGTTTGCCAAATAATGTTTATGGATGTTTATCTTGTTTCAAAGATGTTAAAACTTCTTGATGTTACATGACTCTATTCATATTCACTAGAGACTATTGTTCTCTCTTGCTATTTATATGAATATTACAACAAAACAGACTTTAATCTGGACTTATTTATTAATATATATTTTCGTATTTATTGTTGGCTGAAATATTTACCAACATTATTGCCTGAAGTTACTTAAGATAAGTTTCTTTGATGTTGTTATTATATTTTTTATTTTTTCATCAGTTTCAAAAATAAAAGTCAATAAAGAAGCATTCAGATGATTGCAAGGGTTAGTAAATAATGGTGTATAACTTTTTTCAATTCTGGCCTAGTCTGTACAGATAGTGGGAAGGTCATTCCTTAGGGGAAGGGGTACTGTGAAGTTTAACAGTGTGGGACAAACACAGACTGTAGACCTGCAGACTGGCGAGGCAAATGAGGTAAACATTGTTGTGAAATGCTTTAACAGATTCCCTATCCCATACCTTTAAGTCTTTCTGAAAGTCTAGTTTAGGGATAGGGAATCTGTTAAAGCATTTCACGACAATGTTTACCTCGTTTACCTCACCAGTCTGCAAGTCTACAGTCTACGTTTGTCGCACACTGGGATTTTAAGTGATGGCGAGGATTGAATCTTCCATTCTGGGGTTTTTTTGATTGGAATATTTTCCGTTGGTATGATGGATAAAATGTTTTGTGTTGTAACATTCAATCCTTTATGGTGAATTTTAAGCTTTAGAAATTCAGCGTGAGATTTTGCAGGTGGGGGGGGGAGGGCAGGGGGGTTGGGTAATTTTTGGTCCAGGTATGCTTTTTGATTTCAATGGAATAATTGGAAGCCATGAAGATTTTTTGGAGTTTTGATATTTGCCCCCTTTAAATCCTTCCTGTCACTTTAACCATTTAACCGTGGGATACCCCTCGCAAAGCCCCCGCCCGAGTCATTCATAAGTTAATTAGCGTAATAAAAAATCAGCGGCAATGTGGAGCTCTCCATTACCCGTTTTCAAACCGAGGGAGACTGGGTGCAGTTGGGATAAACAACACAAGATCTGCATAGCCAGAAAGAACACACCATGCATTACAAAATCCCCAAGTTTGTTTTTGATCAGGCAAATATAGAAGTACCCAGTCCCTCTCGGTTTGAATTTGGCAATGTATGTAAAATGGAAATTGAGCCTAGGAGCAAAAGATAATGAAAAGGCTATCTGACTGGATAGCAACAGGCAAAGTCTAGCCCAAATGCAGAATTATGACCATTTCAACAAAGTAATCTGCGATCAGGATGAAAATTCAATTCTCTCTGAGGTGATATGATTATATGCATTTCAGTGACGTATCCGAGACTCCAAAACTCGCTAGGACCACGTGACCCGAAATGCATCGGCCCCGCGCAATAATGAGGCCTAGGGACTCGGCAAGGTTTGAACAACTTCGTAAGGGGTTCTAGGAGGGCTTATAACTGAACTAAAAGAAAGTGTTTCCAAACAAGCTACATAGCAGTTAAAGCTTCAAAACGTCGTAAAAAGTCGAATTCATTTCAATTTCAATATTCAAAACGTCGTAAAAAGTCGAATTCATTTCATTTCAATGTTAGCTAGAGGGGGCTTACAATTGGGGGGAGAGCTTATAAAAGGATGTATTTTTTGTGACACCTCGTTTAAGTGTTATGGGTAGATGGGCCCATAAATGGAGCATTTTTTTTTTTGGGGTTAGGGGGGCCTAAAAATGGCTTACAGGGCTTACGGGCTTACAGGGCTTACAGGCCAAATAAGCTTGAAAGTAAAAACCGATAATTCCACAGCCTCTAGATGATTGTACCGTCGGTTGCATCTGAAGCGCGTACACCTGACGAAAAAATATGTTCTAATTGGGTGAAACCATGACATGTTTTTGCCATCAAACTGTTGAAGTTGAGGTAGCGTTAGACGAACACGTGCAAACTCTAACCCTCACTCCATTATCCTTACCCTCACCCTATCTATTTTTCTTGGAAAGATTGTAGTGGTGCCCCACCCCAGGGGGAGAGGTACTGACCCTTGATGTAGGAAGCAGCTCTGCCAGGACTCAGCCTATTACCTCTAACTGGCTTTACAGGAAATAAGACCAAAAAATTTAAACTTATTTTGTAAAATGTATCTGAGCATTAAATGATATTATTTGCCTTAGGGAGAGTTATGCGGGCGTAGCCATTTTCTGTTCTTCTTCTTCTTCTTTTTTTTCATAATACCCACTTCAATTTTGCCTGAACCACAGTTCGCCTACGAAGCATTCCTCGCCTACATTTGCTTTTTTACCAAAGTGACGAGGGTATTATGGTACAAAGGAAAGGAATTTGAATAGCAATGTGGTAGCCTGGCTTTAGTGTAAGACAACCTGAAAGCACGAAGCCCACATACTCCAACCCACGGCTTAACTTTTAAATTCCAAAATAAAATTCTGGCGCGCGCGCAATAAGACGCAATAAACGAATCCTAGGCAACGGAAAGTTTATTTTCCTGTTTAGGATATACGTTCGCACAGTTTGCGGAAGGTGCAAGTAACACTTGTGACTATTGTATAGCAAGTAATACTGGCGTTTTGTGCTTTGATCCTTTAAAAGAGTGACTTTAAAGTCATGTTTGGATCACTTTTTTCCAAGTTTAGAAAGAGAAAAAACATGGTTGACCCAGGAATAACTATCTTTCCCAAGCCAACCTAAGACAAAAGTTCAAGGAAGCCTTCTAATGAAGACTCAGCATCTCATGAAGACATAGGATTTCAGAAAAATGGAGATCAGACAAAAGTATCGGAAACTCGTTCTTTGGCATCGTCTCATCAGGGCGAGAACTTGATGAAAGATGCGGTGCCAAGTCAGTACGAGGCTGATGCCGTGCGCGCATTAGATCATGAAAAGCAAGTACTGTCTGCTATAAACTCTACAAACGTGGCGCCTCCGCTTGCCGCGAGGAATTCCAATCATCTTTTGGAGAGTGCACGTGAGATTCTAGCAATCCATGACCACAGGACGTCTTCAAGTTGCAAAGCTGCACAGCCTCTGAGTTCGATTAATACCCCTTTTCCGGAGCAAAAAGAAGTGGCTGACGAGAAGACAAGAGTTTCGCTGCGTTTAAGGAGACGTGGGAAAGTGGCGTCAGAAATCACTTTGGCGGACGTCCACGAAAAAAAGTGCGCAGTAGAGGAAAGGAAGCTGAAGGAGCTAGAACGCATACGCGACCAGCTTGAGTCTAGAATTGAACGGAAGAAGCAGAAGACTGAGAAAAGAAAGGTAAAGCAACAGCAGAGAAGGGAAAGCAAAAAGGAACAGAAAGAGTTGCAATTGCGAGAAACGTGAGCGAGGAAGGTCAAAGACAGAGTAAGTTGATTTCCTTATCTAATTGCAACTTAGCCTGCGTGACAGGAGAGCGAAAAAAGAAAAGGGATTGGAAAGATTTGTACCATTCGAGCCTTTCTTCCCCTCCCCTTCCCTTTTTTTTGCGCTTGTGCAAGCTAATTGCTACGCACATGTGTATCGTGCGAACAGAAGCTACCCCCCTGAGCATGTGAATTTGGCTATAAATGCTAAGCGGAGTAGCTGGACTACCCTTCTCCTTTCTTTTTTCTCAATACGTCTCTGTCCTTAATCCTGGCTTGTCGTCACTTTCGAGAACTGGTTATCGTTAAAAGGACGCTTTACACCCGGGTGAGAACCCAACCGTACAAATTAGGATTCTTTGTGCTTCCCAAAAAATTGAAGGGTAAAAGTATAAAAGGAAATGAAACAAAAGAAAGGAAAGAAAAATCATAATGATTTA